GACGATGTGAAATACATCGTCGCCAACTGTCAAGTCTGCGCCGCTGATAAAGCGCCGATTCAGCCGCCAAGATCGATAGTGCCCACGGTTGTTGAACGACCATTTCAAAGAATGAGCATGGACACTACCGACATAGTGGTGCCCCCTGACCCTAATAGTTGCGAGTATTCAGTCCTACTGGTATTTGTTGACCATTTCTCGAAATGGATCGAAGCGTATCCTTGTCGCACGTGGCAAGCCACGAAAATTGTGCAATTTGTCAACCGTTTCCTCGGGATGCATCAGGATACGGAGAAAATCCTAATCGACAATGGGGCTGAATTCAGGGGAGAAGTGTTAAGAAATCTGGTCCTACACGGCGTCGTCATACGGAACACCGCACCTCACATGTCACAGTCCAACGGGCTGGTCGAAAACGCTAACCAGGTGATAAAGACAGCGTTGCGACGAAACATCGTGGCACGGGATCCGAGACCTTGGCCCGATATCGTCGATCATATCCTGGCGGTCCATCGTGGAACGCCCCACGAATCGACGGGGCTAAGTCCCTTCCAATTAAGGACCAATATTGTCGCTTGCGTTTCGATACCGAGCCTCCCGGATGAGACTACATTAAACCGACGGCCCACCAGGGCCACGGCTCGGGACAAGGCCAAACGACACCTAGAGTTAATGGAACGGTCGCTGCCCAGGCTAGCCCGAAAGCGACGGAAAATGACCGAACTAGCCCAGGGCCGACAGGTCCGGAGCTACGAAGCCCGAAATGGGAATGCGGGTCCGCGGCCCCAGTACAAATTGGGGGACGTGGTGCGGGTGAGGAAATGTGCTCGCCAGGGTAAGCTAGCGCCACGATTCTTCGGGCGATATCGCATGATCGAGCTCGGCCCCAACAGTGTGGACACCGTGCGCCTCGCCCCCGAAGTCTCTGGCAGTCGATCAGCTCGTCCGATCACACGCCACGTGTCCTATCTTCGCCTCCTTCCCTCTNGTGTGGACACCGTGCGCCTCGCCCCCGAAGTCTCTGGCAGTCGATCAGCTCGTCCGATCACACGCCACGTGTCCTATCTTCGCCTCCTTCCCTCTGCTCCGTCTCCCTCTCCCTCGATCTCTCTTTCTGAGGAAGCCGGCGACGACGGCTCGGACTCTCCGCCATCTCCCTCCCTTTCTCGCTCCCTCTCTGCCTCCCCGTCACCATCGCCATCGCCATGAGTTTTCTGGAGGAGAAAGCCCTCAGCGAAGCAGCGCTTGCGCCCCGTGATCGATTGATGATCCGACAGGTCTATCATCCCCACCTCAGTCCAGATCTTCGGCTGCTTGCGCACGTTTTCTGTACGGAAGGCGTGTATGCAGCGGCGGTGTTCAGAATCGAGGGCCGGCCCAACGCACTAGTACTGGCCGAGGCAGTAGCAGTTCATCAGCGAGCGGTGCCAGGTGTCAGCCGCCTATCGGTCGTTATCAACTTCCGTGGCGATCTCTCCACGCTCCTTCCTTTACGACATTCGGCGGTGAGGACATCACTGCGCGCGTGGGCAAACGATCTGGTCGCCGAGTGGACCCAGCTTCTGGCTCATCCCGGGGACATGGTCGTGGCGACACGAGCAATCGAATACGACGGCCTTCGGATGTACCAGCGTGATCCGCCGGCGGTTCTCTTCCCTCGCCCCCAATGAGTCTCTCTTCGATCTCCGTATTTGATCTCCCCTCCACCTTCCCCACCTTCTTGCAGTCCGATATCCATCCTCGCCTTTCCTACTCTCTAACGACCCTTGATGTCCCCGACATTCATCCCCCCCACTGGGAACTGTGGCGCGAAGACTTTATCGAGCTTTCCCTGTGCTTGGTTGAAGTACGGCTGACGTGGACCGAGGGCGAAGCACACCCGCCTTGCATAGAGCGACTGGAGTTGTTGTTTATCCAGGCCTGGCGCACCAACATGGAGGGAGAGCTCCTCGCGTTCCTATTCGGTACAGTACGGCCCGGCCATCAGGGACTTATCACGCAAGAGCTCACGATTCCAATAGCGCAGCTGGCGGACGATCTCCCTCTTGACATCATCTCGCAGGACGACGAGCACCCGATTCCTCACGTGCTTTCTCGCACGTTGACGCAGTATCTCCTGTGGTCGGCTTGTGTGGAGGGAGCCGCAGAGCGCATCCCGCCGTCGCAGCGGCAGTATTTGGATCCCCGGACGGTTTGCGATCCTACCTTCTTCAGGCATCCAACCGCAGAGCAGCTTGCTGCCATTCGAGAAGAAGAGAAGGAGGAAGAAAGCACGGAGAGTGACGAAGGAGAAGACGAGCAGGGAGAAAGTGGGGAAAGCGACAAAGTACTCGGGGAAGAGGACGAAACCCCCGAAGAAGGAAGCTATAGCGAGCATAGCGAGGGGGAGCAGAGCGAAGAAGAGGACGAGGAAGGAGAAGAAGAGCACGACGAAGAGCCTGCTGAATCAGAGTGGGAAGCCGTGCCGGAAGAAGCGCTGCGCACAGGTACCGAGGCAGAGGATCCCGAGGCGGCCCGTAAAAGAGAAGAGATCGCGGTCGGGAAGACGGAGTTAGAACTCGCAAGCGCGGCGAGTCTGCAGATCTGCGACGACCCGAACCGAGATCCGGCGCCGCCCTGACCTGAAGATGGCGACTTCGCGGCCACGACTCCGGCCCCATCGGCACGGCGACGAAGCCGATCCCCCTCCTCCCCAACCCGTCCTCCAGTTCGCCAACGTACCGATACGGGCGAGCGGCCTTCGTCCCCGATCACTCTCTCGCCGTCCCCTTGACTACCTCACCTTTCGCCAGCTCACCACCCCCGTCACGTTCCCCTCCAATCCTTTCCCCCGCAGTACCTTCCGCCACTTCTACGCCGCTCGCCTCGCTGTCGTAGTGCATCCCCATCTGTCCCTCCGATGCGCCATCCCAGCCTTTTGCCTCCATGTCTTGCTTCTCAGTGCCGCGTGGCGAGGCCACAAAACGATTGAGGTTTATTGCATAATAACGGGGACCATCCCCGCATGCGAAGATCGCAATCGTTTCCGCGCGGCGCTCTTCCGAACCTTTACCACCCTCTACCCCGACTATCTCGCGTCCCTCCCTCGCACTGGCAATCGATTCCCCCGTTTCTATCGCATTATTCGTTACCAAGAACTCTCGGAGACTGTATCTGGAATGGAAAGTCTCCTGCCCCCGCTGCCCATAAACCCTCCACCCCGCCATGCCACCATGTATCGATTTCCCTTCCCCCTCCCCGTTAATTACTGATGCAGCAGGTAATGGACGCGTGTCGCGGCGACGGCACGAGGAAGATCCCGTCCTTGAATCGTTGACAGCCCAATCTGAGGAACTGGTAGAAGAGCAGAGTTGCCATGTTGGATATCGTCCACATGCAATCGAACGGTAAGTGCCATACAGAGAATTGCTCCGCGTATCGATCGATTAGAGAAATCGACACGTGTCAACAAGCAAGCAGGAGCTTGCTAATATTGGAACCCCCTGGGCGTCACATATGTGACGAACCACTTTCTTTATCTCTTCCCCCTCTTCATCTGTGTACATACATTTTGATTGCGGCTCCGGGTAGTTTGGCGGTTCTTATTGTCGTTTCGGCTCCCTGAGATTTGGGCTTGTTTTTTTTTTGTCTTTGCTATGTCCGTCCCGATTGCATTATACATATGATTATCAAATGTATGGATGTATGAATAAGTAGATGTGTGGACGTTATGCCTGTCTGTATATCTTTTTGTCGAGGATCCATGTCCTTGCCTTTCGTTTGTATCGAATCTTTGCCCACACCTGATGCAGTTGCAGATGGGATATGAATATGGTCTTGATAGCGATTTTGTCCTCGATTTTGCTTATCTCGCGATGAGGGGTGTGATATGGTTGCATCTTGCATAATCCGAAACAATTAAACCGCGAACGCCGCGCGAGAACACGGGTAAACGCGATCCGAGTCGCGCCCTTACACGTATTCCTGTGCGACGACTGGCTGCCCTAGAAAGGAGTCACGGTGGAACCATCATCCCATACGGGCACGCCGAGGCGTCACTCAGTCGGCCTATCCCACACGTGCTCGTACGAGGTGACGGAAACCCGGCCCGCGCTATCCCACCGACAATGGCACCATGACGCGATCTTGGAACTCAGGCTCGTCCTACGACCCGGACTATTTCACCCCTATAATAAACGAGCTCACAAGGACACGATACCCCTGTCACACGGAGAATCGGTTATGTCCGCGGGAATTCCACTGTGCTACCACTAGCGACCCTCGGTGCTCCGATTTCCCTTCCCCCGACCACACCTACTACTGCACCCACCCAGGATTCGTTGAGATCGCCACCAGTTTCCCTCCCTTCCGCCTCCTTCTCCCGTATCATTAACTCATATCGTTCCATGGTCGGCCATAGCCCCCTATTGGCCTAATACGTTTTGCGCGAACTGTCGACGCAACGGCGCGCAAAACACTCCGGAATATCGGAGACCCAATTCAGGTACGCGGCGTCCTGCGCCGCATGGCGGCCCCCGACGGCCTAACTTTTCAGGACCACCTCCGCCACGAAGGAATTTTCCCGCAACCCGTCGCCCGCAGTGCCCCGGCCCCAGTGGACCATGAGTCCCTTGCGTGCGCTCGCCTAATTGCATGCATACCTTTAAGACTCCCCCACTTTCCCCAAAAATCCTTGGCACACCCCTTTTCGCACTTCCAGGCCCCCACTCCACTCTGATCAGGAAGTCACGCTGGGCGTGAGGTTTGGGCGTCACAGGGCACTGAGAGGCTCCGACTTCCTCCAAGCAGAGGGTTCAGAGTCGTCCACAGGCAGCTCAGGCGGTCCAGTAGGGGGAAGAGGTGGAGAGTTAGACACGACCAGCAAGAGGGGCTACAAAACGGAGCAGAAGGACCCCCGTCTGATAGAGAGGAGGATGATCCCGCTAGTCTGCACCAGGATCGATGGTACGTTCTTCTTTTTAGGAATGGCTCAATCAGATGGCAGGCCCTACCTCCCCTCAGTACCTACATACAAGACGCCTCGCCCTGGTGAGATTCTGACAAGAACAAAGTTCCTGTTCGGGGATGCATTCCCCATTAGGATCGTCCCTTGCTCGAAGATGGTGAGCTGCTCGGTCCCGTTGGAGTAAAAAATTCTGAAATTTTATTTTCCATTATTAGACGCTCGGTTGGACTCCCACACAGCGGAGGCTTTGACACAGGCAGGTGTCAAGTGGTTTCATCTAGACGCTGTGAGGGAAGCTAACAGCCATGAGCTGGAGGCCATTTCCTTGACTCAGGAAGTAACAACGTTGTTGCTGTTGAAAGTGAACAAGAAGCTCCCAGACAACTTAAGCCTGCGGTCCACGTTCCTGCTGAACTCGCTGACAGAAAGTTGGCGTTCCTCTTCTCAACAAAGTCATTCTAGAAGTGTTTCCAGGCAGAGCCCCATTCACCAGTCTCCTGCTCAAGGCACTCAGAGGTGGGGCGACGACCGGACAAAATCCCGCATCCATTATCAAACGGAGGAAAAGACTGCAGATGGTTAAGCTCAAACTAGTGACCTGGAACGTGAGAGGCTTAAGGGACACTACAGGGAGGGAGAAGAGAAAGCGGGTGAAGTCGTGGATGTTCTCACAAAAGGTGGATATTCTCTGTTTACAAGAAACGAAGCTGGGAGAAGATAAGTTAAATCTGCTACAAAACTGGTGGGATGGCCCACAGTTTTGGGCGGCAGCGCAGGGAACGAGGGGTGGAGTCGCCATAGTCCTACACAAGAACCTGCAAGAGACCATTGTGGACACGGAAACAGATCTGTGGGGGAGATGGGCCTGGGTAAGGCTGCGAGCGGGCCAGGAAGAATGGGTTATTGCAACCGTTTATGCCCCCTCGGAACCAACTTCAAGAGCAGGGTTTTTCAGGAACCTGCAATGGATACTTCCTCGATCGGAAAACTTGGTGATATTGGGTGACTGGAATCTCTCCTTGGATGAGGCCTTGGGCAGAAACTCTCGCTCAGCAGGGAGAGGAGACACTGCAGCACTACTAGACCTGATCCAAGAGAGAGACCTGTCAGACCCCTACCGCTAGCTAAATCCCGAAGACCCAGGGTATACCTGGTTCTCATGTATTTGGCAGGAGGGTGATGACAGAGCGATGGTGAGATGAAGGCTGAACTACTATTTGGTAGGCAGGGGATTGGCGCAGTCTATCACTCAGGTCCGACAGATCTCTCACCCCCTGTCTGATCATAAGCCGGTAGTTTCAGATATAGTGCTGTCCGGGGCAGTGGAAAGAGGAAGAGGCTATTTCAAGTTAAATGCACAAAGTTTGGAAGATCCGGGCTTGAAAAACTGGGCACAAGGACACATGGAGGAGTGGCAATCGGCTAGACCTTCCTTTCCATCTACGGCGGAGTGGTTAGATGGGGGCATTGCGATCATATCCGGAGTTTTGAATGTCAGTTCCAAAATAATGGCTAGGGAAAGGAATAAAGAGGAGGATCAATGCAGGAGGAGGGTGGAGGAGGCAAAGAGAAGGATGGAACAACATCCGATTTCAGAGTTGGTATGGGCCAAAGAGAGAGAATGCTGGCTGGCAGACTGGGACAAGTTACAGATAGAGAAACAACACAGGTGGGCGGAGCTGTTAAAAGTCAAGGGGATACTCTCACAAGATAGAATGACAAGAGACACGTTCTGGAGGCTGCTGCCGAGTACGTCCTTCCACCAAGTGGTGCAGTTGGATCACCCATTCGATCAGGCCACTCAGCAAGCTACCTCGAACGTAGACATGTTGGAGTACGCCAAGCTTTACTACGCAGATATACTTACGGCAAGGAGGACTCAGGACTCTACGGACTCAGACCTATCATTAGAGTCTGACATGTGGGAGGACACTGTGGTCAGACTAGGAGTATCAGACAGACTGGCATTGGACAGACCGGTTACGGCGGAACAATTGAAGCAAACACTGAAGGTGATGGCCTTAGGGAAGTGCCCGGGTAGAGATGGCCTTACGGTGGAATTTTACCGGTCATGTTGGGAAGCACTAGGTCCCCCCCTAGTGGAGGTATTTAATGAGGTTTTGCAGGAAGGCAATTTGGGAAAGGCCATGACACACGGAGTGATCTCCGTCATGTTCAAGAAAGGAGACAAGGCGAACATAAGAAACTATCGCCCGATCTTGGTGTTGAACGTGAGCTACAAAATTCTAGCCAAAGCGTTGACCCTACGTCTAGGAAGAGTCCTTCCCAAGTTAGTAGAAAGGGATCAGGGTGCCTTCGTTCAGGGCCAGTCAATTTTTGTCAACATCCTCACAGCAATCGAGAGCATAGAGGTTATCCAATCGGAACAGCTAGACTTCGCGGTGCTGATGCTGGATATGGAAAAGGCCTACGATAGGGTAGGCTGGTCATTTGTGTTGACAACACTGAGGAAGCTGGGCTTCGGCCAGGGGTTCTGCAAATGGGTCATCGCAATGTCCACCTGGGCTACCTCAGCAGTCCAAGTTAACCGCCACCTGTCTAACACTTTCCAGCTGTCAAGGTCCCTCCGCCAGGGCTGTCCCCTGCCCCCCCTACTATTCGTGTTACGGCTCGAGGTCCCACTGAACAGGCTCCGGAAGCATCCGCTCATTCGAGGCTTACCGTTAGCAGAAGGCAAAGAGTGTAAAACGAAGGCTCTCACT